TTTTTTTTTTTTTTTTTCTTCTTTCTTTTCCCTCCTTTTCTATTGAGATGCTGTAGTCTCATTAGTGTTTATATTTTTGAGACAGGAAGCTGATTCTTCACACTTGCCATCTCCATCGGAAACCAACTCAAAGGAAATCTACACCGTGGAGCTCGTTAAAGAAGACGGGACTTTTGGAATCAGTGTGACTGCAAGTGTTACTCTTAATCTTTCAGTGTGTCCATCAAACCATTACATTGACCAAGAAACACATAGGGAAGTGTATTTATGTGGAACAAAGAGAGAAGACAGCCTGATAATAAAAATTGTTAGCCAATTTTATTTCCTAATATAAGGAAATAGAGTTCTCCGTCTATTTGGAGGACCAGAGAAGGCAGCAGTGGGAATCATCTGCCTCATTTGAATAATAATTCCTTGTCCTGGCTATCAAAGCCCCTCCAGGCTGAGATGTCTTTACAGTCCTTGCTGAAACGGAATGGGAAGCAACAGCTATTTCATTGCCTGCAGAAGAAATTGAGAGCTGCTTTTTCATCTGAACTTGGCCGGGGGATGTAGACAGACAGAATGCAATTCTTAGGTTAATCTGGCATTCCCCTGAGCTGTGGGCTCTCAAGTGGCTGCACAAGTTCAGGTCCACACTTTACATATTGAAAGGTTAATGAAAGGTCTAAAAGGTTAATGACTGCTGAGTGAATATTGCACAGTTTGGAAGCTGGGCTAGAGACTGACTGAAAAATGCAACCCCATCTTTATGGTAGCATAGGGAAAAATTTATGAACATTTAGGAAATGTTTTCATACAGCCACATAGAAACACATTGCATTTTCCTGCAAAAACAAGATTACTGCCTGGGGGGGTATAATACTACTGGATGGGCCTTTGGAGTAATATCCTCTTTCATTTTTTTCCTATATTAAAAAAAAAGTAATTCCTGAAGCAGTTGCTTTGCAACACAGGTGTAAGTTGCTTTGATTTTTATCACAGGAAGAACACGTGGAGACTACTCTCTAATCTGTGGGCACATGTTTTGCAGGGTGGAATTAACACTAGTGTGCGCCACGGTGGGATATACGTGAAATCAATTATTCCCAGGGGACCAGCAGATAAGGACGGACAAATAAAGATAGGTAACGTGTCTGGCAATAAAACTCTGGGCTGGAGAACTCACTGTTAGTGTGGAATGTTTGCCACGGGGACAATCAAACACATTTGGGATTGGAGGTCACACAACTGTGGCTAGTGACCCTGACATCTGCACTGTTGGTAGCCTCAGGGTTTACACCCATTGAACTTGGACATCAAAGCAACTTGACCCTCTTGTTTGGTTTTCTTTTGCCTCAGGTGATCGCCTGCTGGAAGTAGATGGCATCAGCCTCTGTGGCATCACCCACAAACAGGCTGTGGAACACCTGAAGAAATCTGGGCAGGTTTGTACAGTAAGATACCCAGAAGGTGGGCCAGAAGAAACATCCCCTTCACCTCACCCCATCCAACCCTATTCTCCCAAAGAGAAAAGTTAAAGGACTTGGGGCTCGCTGTGTAACTGGAACCTCTTCATCACCATTTTAGGTTGCCAAGCTGGTTCTGGAAAGGGGAAACTACCTACTGGCAGAGCCATGCCTGGCTGCTAAGGACAGGAAGGAGGACCAATGTGCAGTGGTTTCTGTGGCAACATCCTTCACAGATGGTACCAAGGACTGCTGCTTTCTGACAGATGGTGAGCGATAAAAAGAAGGAACTCAGGGTGACTTCTTACAGCGTGGAAGAAAGGAATGAATGAAAGTAATTGACTCTGAACAACATATTTCTGATGTACTCAGAGTTACAATGGCTAAATATAGCTGAATTTCTGGTAGTCATAAATTCTGCACCTCTCAGTCTTCCTGGGATGGGCTTTAGGGGGGCCACCCCTGTCTGTACCCTATAGCACTCTTGGGTGGGAGGCAGTGGGGTTGATGTTTCCCAGAGAGCACCACCACCAGCACATCTCCTGGTGTGTCCTGGAAGCTGGGGGAACCACTGCCCCAGGACCAGCACCAGAGACTGCCATCACCTCATTGCTTAAAAGCCAGAATCATAGAATGATTCAGAGATCACTACCACTGAAACCAGCCACCAAATAAATGCTGTATCTGTTACTGTAGGGCTGTCTCACAAACACTGAGTCTGAACCACGGGGTGGTTACTCCTCCACATCGTCCCCAGCAGAATGGGGTTCAGCTGCAAGTACAGTGTTTGGGAAAGGGCTGGTCCCTTGTTCTTGGCTGGAAATCAGATTCTACCTTATGCTGGTTAGTGCAGGACCCAAACTAACATCAGGCAGCTACAGAATAGTTAAGATCTACCAAATACTTACAGAAGAATGCCAGAAAAGGATAGCATTTGAACCATTTTATGTTGGTAAAACAGGCTGCTTCCTTCATGGGCTTGTACCAGATGGCATAAAGTCTGTGAACACACAGTGGAATAGAATCCAGTTCTCCCCATTCTGCCTGTGTGATTTTAAGGGCTCACATAAGTGAAAGGAACATCAAACCCTTCTTTTGCCATCAGTACCAGTAGATCTGCCTCTGCAGCTCCCAGGGAGAAGGTCTGCTGAGGGTATAATTCAGATCAGCTCCTACAGGGGTACAGACGCCACAGCTCCCACTCTTTTTCCAATCCCTACTTTGAACAGATGATACATTTGAAGTCAAATTGACAAAGAACTCTGGAGGCCTCGGCTTTAGTGTTCTGCAGATGGAAGGAGATGCTTGTGAACACTTTGGAGGAGCTATTGTCAGGATCAAAAGACTGTTTCCAGGGCAGCCAGCTGAAGAGAACGGCCAAATTGAGGTCGGAGACATCATTTTAGCTGTGAATGGGAAACCTGTTCAAGGACTCCTATACCAGGTACCAGGCAGTGTGATCACTGGGACCCGGGTGGGTAATATGTTAATATAGACAATGGGATGAAATTGCTTTTAAACTTAATTATCACCAGAGGGAGTCAGAAATTGCATATAATGAATCTGATTTCTATGTAGGATTGTTCTCTGGAATTCTTATGGAGTATTTCCTTCCTAACAGAATTCTTTCAGAGAACTTATTCTGCTATTTAATTTATAATTTTCTACTATTGATGCACCAAGTCTATTGTTGGATGCACACCAGCTGTTAATTAGTTGGAATCTTTGTTGGTGTTAAGTATAATTGGAACATTTTTTCCCTGTGGTCATTTTTGCTTTGAAATGTCATGCTTCATACCATGCCCCAGATTCAAATCTCTACCAGGGGAGGAAAACAAAGTGTAACTTTTCTTACCTGGAATGAGAAATTCTATACTCACATGAAGAAATTAAAGGTAAAAAAGGACTACATATGGATTTATTTTTTTTCATAAAAATCTTTTTATGTTATGAAAAAATCCCTGAGCTTTGTATATGAATGAGCATTGAGTAGGTAAGATTGGTAACAATCAAAAATGGTGAAATCATGCAATTTTCCCACTGCCAGGTCATTCATATAATTAAATAGCTGGGGCGCTGGAATCTGAATGCCATCAAATAGATTTAACTTCAAGGAGAGGCTTTGAGAAAGTCTCCCTTCCGTTCTGTCAATATGACAGTGTGTAGTTGACTGAAGATGTGTCCCCACCACATGCAGTTTGAAATAATTTGTCTGAAAATTCTTCAATAAAGGAAAAAGAATTAATTTAAACCTACGTCTTGGTGGGGAAACAAAAGTTTGTAAACAGAACTGTCATTACTTCAGGTAGACATTCACATGAAAACTATGGTGCACCTCTATGATAATCATACAATACCAAATTTTGGGCCCCAGACACTGCTGAGGCACAAATACTAAGAATTTGGCATTCACAATAAAAACTGGCTCTGTCCCAGTTGGTAAAATGACATGTACTATAGATTGTTCCGTAAGAAATCTAATATTCCTTCCTCATGTCTAGGATGTCCTGCACTTGCTGAGAGGAGCTCCTGCAGAAGTCACACTACTACTTTGCAGACCACCAAAAGGTGTTCTTCCAGAAATAGAGCTGAGTGCCCTGGTAAGGCAAAGCTTCGGTCAGAAAACTTGCTTCTGAAAAGTACCTCCCCTCTGGTTTTTTCCTTCCCTTCCAGCTACCATTTGATACTTTCACATTCAGATACTTATTGATGACTGCTTCTTCAAATTATTTTACAGAAAGAGGCTGGGGGATAGCAAAGGAGTTACACTAACCTTTCTGTTATTTTGACAGACTCCAGCACCATCACCGATCAAGGAGTTTGTGGCAGAAATGCCAGGCAGTGCTGAGGTAGGAAACAGTATGGATCAGTCTACCAGTGATGGAGGTAGCACCTCTCCAGACCTCGAAGAGTGCCTGGATTCTCCAGCAGCAGCAGATTTCAGTGAGCCTCCCGAGGAGGACAGCTCAGCTTATGAAGACCAAGAAGCTGAGTTTCAAGAGAAGCCCATACAGAAACTGACAGCTCCCGGGGAAAGTTTCTACAAGCACCTTTGGAAATTTCATCAAGAAGCTTCTGGTTCTGAAGCCTTCCCCTCCCTAGAGGAAGAAGTGAAGCAGAACTGCTACTCACCACATGAATTCGGATGGGCCAAAAGGTAGGGAACACTAAGATCTGCTCTGCAGCCTTTCCTCCAGCTCTTGGGATTTTGAAAGTGAATTGCTTAGGTTTAATACGGGGCTATCTGCTACTAATCACTGCTGATTACTGAAGATTTGGGTTTACCATCTTATTCTGGCTGGCCTAATCCTCTGTCTCTATTTACTCTCATCTTATTAGAGTTTTGCATAAATCTGCACTGCAAGACATTTGTAGGAGCACTGCACTGCTCTAAGCATTTCTGCCCTTCAGCTGGAGCTGGCTGTGGTTTGAAATCAGTGGAAAGATTCTCACTGATTTAAATAGGAACCAAAGACTTTCTTACTTATTACACCATCTTTCAATTTTGATTTTCACAGAGTTGATTTAAATAGGCACCAAAAATATCTTTCTTTTTGTACGATCTTTTCATTTCAAATTTTTTCAGAGAAAAAAAGAAAACTAAACTCAGAAGACAAGCCATGATCAAGGTGGGGGGGTAATAGGAACCAAAGACTTTCTTAATTATTATACCATCCTTCAATTTCAATTTTCATAGAGTTGACTTAAATAGGCACCAAAAATATCTTTCTTTTTGTACGATCTTTTCATTTCAAATTTTTTCAGAGAAAAAAAGAAAACTAAACTCAGAAGACAAGCCATGATCAAGGTGGGGGGGTGGGAAGTTATTTTCCAGTCTTCAGAAGCCTATAGAAGCCCTGAACCAGAGGGGTGATAGAATATGCAGGGGAGTTATACAAGATACAGACAGTCAGAGATTCCAGTCTGCAAGTCAACTGGGGCCATAATGGCTGTTCATTTTTTTAGCTCCTCTCTCTTGAGAGGAGAAGCTTCATTCTCATTGATTACTTATTTATTTTTATAGTAACACTGGAGGACCCAGGCAGCAACTTAATACCATTACTAGTACTTCACTTAAAATTAAAATAAGGTCATGTATAAGCAGGGGACTTCCCAGTGGCCATCTAATAAAGCATATGGAGGAAAACCCCAGCACTACAATCTTTTTATTTTCCAGCCTCATACTTAATAAGAGTGATGCTGACCTATCAAACACAAAATGTATGCCTGAAACACTCTCTCTACCCCCTATTGATGAAGAGTATCTCACTGTCAGCTCAACATCTGTCACCTCACTTTCACGGGGAGGAAGCTCCGAGACGCTCTCCACAACCATGGTGACCCCACAACCACGTCTCTGTGGTCCCTTCTCATCGTCCCTGCCTGCTGGGGACACACGTGACAGTGACAATGAATGGGAAGACCTGGAGCAACTGGAGGAAGAGAAGGAAGAAAAGGAAGATTTCACAAGGGTACGTGATAGACACCGGATTATTAACAGGTAGAATATGACAGAGGAAAGGAAACAACTTTCAGAATGCAACATTCTTGAACATTAATTTTAAATCATTATCTGTGCAATTTCTGTATGGGTTTTTTGTTGGGTTTTTATTTTTACTTTCCTGATTGTCCACAATCTTCAAGTCAAGCAGACCTTCCGCTACGCCCAGATTTTCAGAATTCTTTACCATTTGCCTTAAGGCCATCTCCTAGCTCATGCCATCCTACCATTATTCAGCTTTCCAGGATTCTGCATTATTATTCCCATTGTACAAAGGCTGGAAAGCCCTCTAGTAGCCTCTAAACTTAATTGGAGTCAGCTACTTGGGGTTTTGCTGTCATGTTTTAAACCCATGTGGAAAATCACTTTGCTACAGTAATCGTACTGTAATGTCCTGATAAGAAAGTACAATCTTTGTGCTAATTACTATTAAAAAACTATATGGCTCAGTCCTGCCAAATGCTAAGCATCTTGCATTCCTTCTGACTCTAATGAGCTCTGAATCCCTGCTAATTTGAGAGTGCCGAGGACAAAATGGAGCTCCAGCCATTTCTTTCAGTGGGACAGCAAGAAGCAATGACATCGATAATCTCTGCACCCCACTATTCTAATGCTTGTCAGCTCAGAGGACTCCAGGCCTTTCTTTACACATTTCAGATTTCAAAATTCCAGTCCCTGGGGGCATTCTCTGCCCCTTATTAGGCCCCATCAATCTATCAATCAATCACTACGCAGCTCCACTAGGTAAAAAAGAAGTAAAATTCACTCTGGAGAAAGGCAGTGACAGATCAGAGAAACCCTGATGTTTGCTCTTATTTATACCATCTGAGGACGTGATTCTTATCTGCATATGAGATATAATGGAAGATGTTAATGAGGCAACAGAAAAGCCTCCATCAAACAGGTCTTGTGCTTATTTTAACAGGAAATGGAGATCTTTGTGACTTTGACAAAGTCAGAGAACAACGGTTATGGATTCTCTGTAGTTCTTAACAAAGTGGACAACTGCCTGTATGTTGATGAAATCTTGAATGAGCCTGCCCTGTCTGATGGAAGACTGAGAAGGGGAGACAGGATCGTTATGGTACAGTAATTCCTTGGGTTTATACAGAGGAGAAAATATTTTCAGATCAGTGTCATTTAGCTTCCTCATTCTTCCTTTCATAGGGCTCAGTTTATCAGATATTTAGGCATGCAAGTGAATCACATACTAATGTAATTCTGCTGACTTCAGTAGGACAAATTTCAGACTGAATGGATTGTATGACCAGGCAAATAACGTCTAGCAGCAATGCAAGAGAATCGAGATACTAAATGCTTTCCCAATTAAATACCAGAAACTGAATTAATGTAATAAGATAGGTGACATACAAAGGATGCAGGAGTTATGTCCTTTGTGAGGTACCAACAAAGCCTATGTTCAGCCTGGTTCATCTTCAATTCATTGATTTAGATCACCTTGCTTGATTTTTGCTACAAGACCTTGAGTTTCGAGAAAAAAAATGAGCTATTTTTATGAAAGCTCTGCATTCAGAAGAACAAAAGTTGAAAAAAGAAATCTTACTGCAATCTTAACTGTTGCTGTAACGTACCACATAAATTAAGTACCACAGCAAAGCAGTGATGTGAAAGTGAAAACAAATCCAAGTTCATATGCAAAATTCAGAAGGGAGGGAGAAGTACCTGATGGTCAATGAGATCTATGACATCGTTTTACTGGTTTGTCATTCAGGTGAACGGAATTGATGTCACCTCTTTATCGTGCAATGAAGCCCTGACTTTACTGCAAAGCTCTCCTCCTGATCTGCACCTGGTGGTTGGTCGTGCTGACAGCGATCCGTGGCCCTCTGTTAGGCCAGATGAAATTCCTGAAATTACTCTCACAAAAGGTGCCAATGGACAGCTAGGTGTGTAGTAAATACATCCATCCTACTTTGGACAGGGATTACAGCGATTTTAAGACAACCATAAGCAAAAGCGGTCTTGGATCAATATGATCCTGAGTGACCTTGACACCTTTATGCTCTCCTCCATCACTCATGGCCAAGGAATGGAGAGCTTGATTTTGGACAAGGCCTTAAAGGGAAAACTAATTTTTCTTATTAGACCAATAAAGATAGTTGGAAAAGTGATCCTTGTATTATCACCCTTTCAGCTGAAATTTCTGGCAGATTTCCAGTCTCATATTTTCAAGTCACTGATACACAGAAGTTGTTGGTAGTTAGATAATAATGTCTACTACCTGCTAAGATACTTAAAGATCTATTTGTAGGGACCAAAAAAAAAAAGAAAAAAAAAGGCAAAGTTTGAGAAGGATGAGCCACTTTGCTATTCAAAAAGTCTCCACTCAAGTCCTTGATTCACTCCAGACACAAGGCTTTATCTACATTGTGCAATACAAGCGGTAAAAGAAATCCCCCCGGCGTATGTTGGTGTTTCTGCAGAACATGGCGAGCACTGCTCACAGGTACAACCGTACACTCAGGAAACAGAATATCTGTATTTGCTCAGTCACAGCATCCTGTTTCCAGTTCAGAAAGTTCCTTGTTCGGAGATTACTTAAATATCATTGCACAATTCCCTGTTGCACTGTAGAGCTATGTCCTTAGTTGTCGTGTGTCCCCATTCCCTATGGCATTCTAAAGGCCGTGAGGCAATTAAGCACCCTGGTAACGAGGGAGACACTGCTACCCAGCTATGTGTGTGTCTTATTCAAATGACTATTCAACATGAGGTGAAATAAAGCACTAGGGAATAGCTGAAGCACAGAGACGGGCAACACCATTTAAGTTTTTCCCATAATTTTTAAACATCTAATTGCATTTCACTCTCCCAGACCAGTTCTTAAACCCCATCTCAGCGGGGAAAGACCGTTATTTATAATGTCAGTGATTTGTTCAGCCTGTCTTTCAATGACCCCCATCTATTCCATTAGGCTGGATGTCACCGTCAGTGACATTCAAAATATGCTGCCACAAAAGATGCTTTCTCTGCGTTATTCTAGGCTTGAAGCTGACAGGAGGAGCTGGAAGCAAGTTGCAAGGTATTTATGTGCTAGAAATAGTGCCTGGCTCTCCTGCCAGCCTGGAAGGCAGTTTGCAGCCACGAGATCAGATTGTTTACATCTGTGGACTGTGGACTGAGGGCATTAGCCTGGATGATGCAGTGAGAGTGTGCGAAGCTGCCACCCAGAATGTCCAAATCAAAGCCACAAGGTAAATCATCTGAGCCTACCCAATCCCAATCCCAATGCTGAGGCAGGTTTCTAAATTTTACATCAACAAGTCAAATAGTAGAAACAAGACAAACCACAAGAAAAAATGCTTTACCTCAAAGGTCTGAATACTGCAGCCTGATACTCAACATCCATATGAAATCTTAATTTAATTACAACTTACACAGTGAGCACAAATAGACTCGTACAACACAGATGAGAACTCTTCTGACTCCATCACCCAAACACAAATGTGAATCCTTTAGCTGCGAGGCTGGCCACCTCAGGGTATATTTGGATATATGTATATCCACCATGAGAAATATTTCATAGAATCATAGAATGGTTTGGGCTGGAAGGGACCTTAAAAATCATCCAGTTCCATCCCCTGCCCTGGGCAGGGACACCTCCCACCAGACCAGGTTGCTCCAAGCCCCATCCAGCCTGGCCTTGAACCCCTCCAGGGATGGGGCAGCCACAGCTTCTCTGGGCAACCTGTTCCAGGGTCTCACCACCCTCACAGCAAAGAATTGCTCCCTATATTTGCAGATATCCTCTTCTCTAGGGAAAATATTTTGATTTCCACCACTAGTACCAACTACAACCTCAGATTCATAGCTACAGCCAAGAAACTACCTCTGATGGGAAACTCTGAGTTGCTCCAAGAGCCAAATGTTTTTAAAAACATATTAAAAATGCAGCATTTAATCTGCAGCATGTAACAATCCAGGGCATGATCAATAACCTGCAGTTAAGAACTTCCCCCATCAGCTCTTGGCTGCACTTTAAATTTATTATTTTCTACAGTCTGGTACAGCACCAGCAGCAGTGCTGGACTGATACAGAAATAATTTTTAAAAAAATCTCAGAGAAACAGTTGAATAGTAACCTCAAAGTACATGAATAACTAAGTTTAATATAACCAGGGTGAGCAATAGTACACCCATCCCAGCTGTCTTAACGTAGTTCAAACTTTCATCAGTGTTTTATAAACTTGCACTGGTTTAACAGATGAAGAAACTGCAGCCTCGTTATACTGTCTGCAGTTAGGAGGCAACACACCCTGAGCCTAAGAATTTACAGTCAGAGAATCACAAACAGAAATAGGGTAAAGGAAATTACAAAAGATCATTCCACAAAGCACTTCTGTATTGGGACAGATGGTTTAACGTGTTCGTTCTTTCTCCAACCCATTTAAATAAAATGTTTTGCTGTTGTTAAATATAGTCAGATATTTTATATATTAATAGAAATGCTTTTTAGGAAAACACCATTAACAAAATCATACAAGTACAACTACAATTTAGACAACTGGCTTTCTAAAACTATTTTTCATATGTGCTTTGCAAAGCCTTCAGCTTTTGATGGCTCATATATTTCACTTTTTCTGCCCCCAGAAATGGCAATCCAGTGGTTCCTATAGAGCAGGAAAATAGTAAGTAAGGCTAATATTTTTGGTTTTCAGTTCAAAACTCGTTGCTGATTTTGGAAATAAGCATAAGGTATTGATTCATTGCATTTGAAAAGTTATTAACAGTCTGTAACTTGGCATTCAGTGTTTCTGTTATGGCCATTCTAAGGGTCTGAAGAAAATCTGGTTTAAAAATAGAAACAAAAATGTATAGTTTTCTGTACGAAACATTATTTATTGCATTTTTGCATAGACGTTTTCCATTTTTTAAATTTGTTGTTATTAAATGCAAGTTTTACATGGACATATTTCAACATCTGTTTTGATTGAAACTATTCTCTAGGGGGTTTTCCAGCAGTTTTTGAGCCACTGTTTAATATGAGCCACCACTACATCATCTAGACCAACTTTTTTAACTAGGTGGTCACCTAGAAACAGGCAGCACCAATATCCCTTCATTAACATAAGAACATTCCTATCAGGGGATGATATTTATTACTGTAACTGATGCAAAACATCAGTAACCACCTGCTCTAGGAAGGCTGGACCAGAATTGCTCCAGCAGCAGGAGTCTCCAGAAGCAGAGGAGGCTTTGGTGTCACATCTACAGCACCGCATAAGAAGTGTCTCAGTGACACAAGTAATACTTTCCAGTTTACATTAGGCTGGAGTGTTAAGTCAGGCCTAACCCATAGTTTCATTTACTTGGCTGGATACCTGATTTTATTTTTTTAATCATGCAAAGATGACCTGAGAAAGTAACCATGGATCAGAGCTGCTCCCATAGAATCATACAATTGCCTGGGATGAAAGGGACCTTTCAGATCATCCAGTCCAACCATGAACCAACACTGACAAAACTCATCACTAAACCATATCTCTAAGCACCACATCTGCCTGGCTTTTAAATACCTCCATGGATGGTGCCTCAACCACTGCCCTGGGCAGCCCATTCCAAGGCTCAATAACCCTTTCAGTGTAGAAATTTTTCCTAATATCCATCCTAAACCTCCCCTGGGGCAAGTTGAGGCCATTTCCTCTTGTCCCATCTCCTGTTCCTTGGGAGAAGAGATCAACCCCCCCGGCTACACCCTCCTTTCAGGGGGCTGTAGAGAGCAATAAGGTCTCCCCTCAGCCTCCTTTTCTCCAGGCTGAACACCCCCAGCTCCCTCAGCCTCTCCTCACCAGACTTGTGCTCCAGACCCCTCACCAGCTCCGTTTCCCTTCTCTGGACCCACTCCAGCCCCTCAATGTTTTTCTTGTGGAAAGGGCCCAAAACTGGACACAATACTCATCTGAATACTGGCATATGGCTACCTGAAAAAATTATCCCAGGCCAAGCTACTTACAGATTTCCTACTCTACAACAAGCCATGGGCTTGTTTTTATAAGCTGAAGCAGCTTATTTCACTTAGAGAAGAACAAACTGCTTTGAATTTGCTACAGTTCACAGCCAAAGTTATCTGCGCTCTCGGTTTCTGAGGGACCACTAAAGCACAGTAAATGCAGATACTGGTGGGACCTTGCTCACACATCCTCGCTCCACGAGCTCTACAGGCTCCAAGATTTCTCAGAGCACCTTCAAAAGACGTTGGCAGGTCTGAGCCACCTCTGACACAGACTGATGAACTCCACAATGGTACCCGCCTCTTATAAAATAAGGTTCATCCCTATAGTAATTTGGTATTTGGTGTTCTGCTTGCTATCATCTCTGATAGATTTATAAATAAATCTATAATAATTTGCTGTTGAGGAAGCAAGCCTTCATTTTATAGAATCTCTTAGTTACAAAAACGCATACTAAAATTCCAAATGCAATAGGGAGGGGGTTTGGCTTTTTAAAAAAAAAAAAAAAACCAGCAACAGAACAGTAATCATTTTCTGTAATTCATACATGAAGAGCACTTTGTGGAAGACAACTAAGATCACCAGGATATGATAAAGCAAAACCCCAAACGAGGGGTGGGTGGGTGGAGGTGGGAGCATCAAGAAACACACACATTCTTTTCTTCCGTGCCCGTCTCCGCAGACACTCACACACTCTGCTTCTTCCTCCGCCTCGTCGCTGCCACACGTCTAGGATGTCTCAGTCTGATCTCCAATTCTTGTTACGACTTTAAAAACAGCAGTGACTGAGATGCAATGTCTCTGCAACTCATGAGAGAATTGTTTGTATGGCTGAGACAATTAACAAACTGCATCACGCAGCAGAGAGCGTCTCAAACTGCCTCATACAGTACCAAGATTGGGTAGTGAGGCTGCATTTAACAATCCAGGCACAGAGTTTACATTTTCTTGTGTGTATGAAGGTGGCAGGAGGCCTGTCAGAACAAACCTACATCTATGCTTTTAGGGCCACCTGCTGAGACAGAGAAAGCCAGCATTTCTTTCTCAAATGAAAGCCTGAATTCCCCAGAACAGCCTCTGCTGCATCAACACGGTAAGAAACTCTGCATTTTTCAATGAGGGTTTGTAAAAATGTTGAGTCCTCTCTTTGAAAGAAAACAAGTCTGTAGGTGGCACTGGCAGCACCTGGGAAAGATTAATTCTTCATAAACAAAACTGCCTCCCTCAGTTTCAAAGAACACTTATACATTCATTACCCTTGTCCATCTGGTGTCTCTGACCCTGTAACATCCAGCTTTTAAAGCTTATTTTGGACCCTACTTGTTGGGAGGTAAAAGGTCTTCAGGGATAATGCACAGAAGGTGCAGTTCACAGTTCAAAGTTTAAGCCTACATAAGTCCACAGGAATTTTTTTGTGTTTTACATGTCAAACATGAAATGTTTTATTATGTCTCTGAATATGATTTTGGGTGTTTTACTATAGAACATTTTCCCAGTACAACTGGGTAAAAGTTGTTGCTGCTTTTTCACAGAGCAACATTTGGAGGAAGCAAACTGTGATGCTCAGCAAAACCCACCCGATTCCCCAGGATGTAAGGTAAGAGAATTTCATTAAGTGTGAGATGGTCCATCCTGTGAAGTGAGCTATAGGGACTGGGATTTTTTTCACTAGTGGTATTTAATGTATTTCCTTCCTCTCCAGCATCTTTGAAAATACGAATATAATGAATTTGGAGAGTGACCTGTGAAGTGTTGAATTGCTTCAGCACTCATGGACTAGAATGTGCTGAGCAATTCCTGGGGTCAGGCTCTGCCATTGCTGTTTTTCAATGTATAATATCATTATACACTGATGGTGGTAACATAAGCACAACTCATGTGACCTAGACTCTCCATTAGGTCTTCATGGTGCTCTTAATGGGTGACAAGATTAATCCTTAGCGTAGAAAGCAGCACAGGAAAAAGATACAGAATGTCACAGATTCTAGGGAAAATAAGTGTAATTGTGAAGCATTTTCCACAACAACCTTTGAAACCTGAGATTAGGATGTTTCATTCTGAAATTCTTAGATGTGGCATTTGAAAAAAAGAGGGTGAAATTACTGCAAACCTTTGGAGCATTATGCAGCATTGACATAAACCATGACAGTTTGAATTTGGCAAGAGCAATGCCATATTTAAAATGATTAATTCCTAAAATACACAGGTGTGTTCTTTGAAAGAAGCAGCAATATCCACGCTAAACATATAATGCTTCAAAAATTCTTACAAGTGCAAACATCACTTGTATTTGTGCAAACACGTGGAAAATAATGTTACTTGGAATTGAAATTACCCACATTGGGACTGATATTTCACAGGAATGGATTTACTGGTTTTCTCTGGATTGTGGTTTGCACAGAAAAGCTGTCTCTCGTTAAAATTAGACCTCCAACCTGGCAGAAAAATTGGAACAATTTTCTCACTTTTGATTAAGTCATCACTATTACTGCTTCTTCCGCACCATTTAATCCATGATGGTTTGTCTGTTCAACCTGCTAAAATAATTTCTGAGGAGGATATTAGTGACATTGGAACTAATCACGCTGCAAGTCATAAACATTTCTAGGCTGCTGCTATTTCTGACATAATACTTGACCCTAAGAAAGCAGCTGATTTTGAAACGGAATGAAGAGCTAAAGCCAAAGAGCTGGGTCTGCTGGGGTTGCAAGGTTAGGATTTTCATTACAGAACAGTAAAAGGAGGGAGCGGGTACTGCATTGCTGTCACGCTGGAGATAAGAGGGACTTATTTGTCAGTGAGGGTGATGTATTTGATATATTATAAAAGGACTACAAAAGTACACGTTTCCTTGCTCTTAAGAGGCTATTTTCCCCTCCAGCAATTATTTTAAAAGATTATGGAAATAAGTATGTACTGTTTTCATTCTGATACATACATGCAGTTGTTATGTTAATCACTGGAAGCTCTATACACCTATTCAAGGGAAGGATATATCCCATAATCTACAGCAGCCAGCGGGGACTGCGAAGCATAACATGATTCTTTGGTATTAAAAATAAAAAAAAAAAAAAAAGCCGTGAATAAACTCCACTTTGACTGCATCTGTTTCTATTGTAGGACTTCATTCTTAACATTGAGCTGGAAAAAGCTGAAAATGGAAGCCTGGGATTTGCCCTGGTGGGTGGAAGGAACGGCAGGGCTATCCTAATAAAAGCCATCAGCCCCGACAGCATCGCAGATCTAGATGGGAGGCTCCAAGTTGGGGACATTCTACTTAAGGTAACATTTGTTCTCCTTCGGTTTGGGCCCAATGTTTTCTCTAGTTACTTATAATGAGCATTCTGTTCAGTATAAAGGTTGTGCAGATTGGAAATCTGCTGCTGCTTGGTGCAGTGATGTGTAGAGGGTGGTGTCCCTCAGCTCCTGGGGGTCACAGGCTGCTCTGCATTGTCCTCCCTGTCCCCCTTTGCATGGAGCTCAGCTTCCTGGGGGACGGGGCCTCTCTAGAGCAGAAGGTGGCTGTTGGGCATCCCAGCAGGGCAGCAGACCCAGAAGCAGCAGGACAAGCAGCAAAGCACAACTACTTAGCAGTGTGACTGTGCCCAGTGAGGATTGCATGTGAAAAAATGAGGGAAATGAGTTAACTGAGCAAGTGTGCATGTAACAGCTAACTGGGAGGATACTGGGAAGAACCTATCACCAGTGCCAGTTGGGTATGATCAAGACAATCAGAGAGCACTGGAATCTATCAAGTTCACAGAATCACTGAATGGTTTGGGTTTGAAGGGACCTTAAAGATCATCCAGTCCCAACCCCCTGCCCTGGGCAGGGACACCTCCCACCAGACCAGGTTGCTCCAAGCCCCATCCAGCCTGGCCTTGAACCCCTCCAGGGATGGGGCAGCCACAGCTTCTCTGGGCAACCTGTTCCAGTGTCTCACCACCCACACAGGAAAGAGCTTCTTCCTAATATTTAATAGAAATCTCCCGTCTTTCAATTTAAAACCATTACCCCTTGTCCTATGGCTCCCCTCCCTGATCAAGAGTCCCTCCCCATCTCTCCTGGAGCCCCTTTAGGGACTGGAAGGGCCTCCAAGGTCTCCCCGGAACCTTCTCTTCTCCAGGCTGAGCAGCCACAACTCTCTCAGCCTGTCCTCACAGCAGAGGGGCTCCAGCCCTCAGAGGATTTTCATGGCCTTCCCTAGACCCATTCCAACAGGTCCATGTCCTTCCTGTGCTGAGGCCCCAGAGCTGGACACAGTGCTCCAGGTGGGGTCTCACCAGAGCAGAGTAGAGGAGCACAATCCCCTCCCTTGAGCTGCCGGTCAGTTATATAAAGATTGCTCAGTGCTGGCTGCTGGTCAGTTATATAAAGATTGCTCAGTGCTGGGACACACGACTACAAAAAAGCTTTCTGGTAGAGGAATCTGGAAGCTCATATGATTGTATTTTTCAGGTGAATGAGACTTTTGTGTCTGGTCTCCCACGCCAAACGGTCATAGATTTGCTGCGCAAGGCCCGAGGCACCGTTCAACTCACCGTCTGCCGAAGCCTGGCTTTGCATTGGGCTTATTCAGGCAACCAGAGCAACAGCATCCCTTCCCCCACAGATACAGAGCTGGGTAAGCAGTCACATCCACTCAGTACGCAGTAACAGTGGGATTATGTGCTGTAAATTCAACTTTCCTAGTCACAAACCCATTCAATGTTACCAACTGTACAGTTAGTCCTGATTCACAGCTGTAGGACACGTTCTCAGAACGTATCCTTAGTTCTGGCTGAGCTAGTCAAGACATAGGACCACAGGGATAATGCCCAAGTGTGATTTTTTTAAGCCTAGGAATAGGAAGCAAAGCTCTAAGACCCTCAAAAATGCTTCAACTCAGCTTATGTTTTCAAGTCATGAAGCTTCCTGATCTGATTTTACCTCTCTGATGGAATCCCAGCCAACACCTCACTGATGGAATCGCAAACAATTATTGACCCAGCTGCTAAAATACATTTCCCACAAATTTCACGTCCCTACCTTATCTCTCAGAAGTGCCACAGCTCCCACTCTGCCTGGCAGACGGCTCCTCTCCTTTCTGTGCTGCCTCATGGTCAGACCCAGAAGCTTCCCCTCGCTGATTGCTAGGAATTTGAGAGCACACCCACCTGTGTGGGGCAGTAATTAGAGAGCCCACTGCTCTAATTGAAAAAATGTGTGCTGCTGGCTCTGCTCTACTGAATACTCAAAATTTCACAGAAACACAGAATCACAGAATCTTCTAGGTTGGAAGGGACCTTAAAGATCATCTTGTCCAACCGTCAACCTGACTGACAAAAATAGACACCCACACAACAAACAAGGAGCATCATCACTAAACCAGACCTCCCAGCACTACATCAACCCGTCTTTTGAACACAATTTAAGTACTAATTAAAGCTGGGAGTGGAAGCAAGGGTATATTATTACTAATAGATTATGGGGTTATATTCCTTAACTTTCTATTTTTTCGAACATTGAAATGATGCAAACTTCTCTGCGCAGGTATTTCAGGCAATTCTGCTGTTAGGCAGCAGCTGTTTTTAGGGTTCAAGGATCTCAATTTTTTCAGTATCTCTTAGACTGAACCTAATCCACTCTAACTCCTAGCCTGTGCCATAAGCACTGGGTGCTTCTTCACTTACTGGAAGCTGCCCTGGGTATTTCAAGAGCAAAGCTTCTCCATAAGGATGAGAAAGCTACCTTCAGCATCAGCCTGGAAGGAGGATGTTCACTGTCCCATCCCTACTCCAGTTTAATTTTGGGGGTTAATGATGCGAAAAAAATAGAAGGACAGCCAGTTATAAAAAGGCTAATTGAAGCTCTGGCTCTTTCAGGGGTTGTGGAAATATTTCCATTCCCCTCAGTAAGAAATGCCTTTTCTCCAGCTCTGCAAATTCAAGGAACTGGGTGTGGGGACATTTCTTTGCATCTCACATGCCGTTGGGGAGTCACACAGTTGCTGGAAAGTTTAAACTGTGTTCCTGGACCAGCAAAACCCAATGGTATTACAGAAGCACTAGCACCAAAGTTTATCTGTGGTATTTGTCCCTTAAAACTGAAAAGTAATGGGCTGGGTTAGGGAACGCAGATTTAAATTCTGTTTCAGGTTTTTTATAGCTGCTATTGATACAGGGGTCTGCTCCAGTGGATCTCCTGGAAACCTGAATTATGCTGCCTTCTCCAGGGGAGACACAGCATTGTGCTTTACTAGCCCTCTCAGAGCATCCATGAGAGGGATATTCCATGCCCATTTCTGGCTCTGCGTCTCAGTGCCTCTTCCAAGATCAAAGTCCCCTGGTGGGGGTGGCACAGAAGAAATGGATCTATATTTTCATGCTTTATAGGCATTTCATTTTGATTTTGTTTTCTGGTATTCAGCCAGTGCTGCAGGAAACCTGCGAGCTCAGCCCATTTTCACTTTCAAGGAAGAAGAAGAAGAATCTAACCAGATGTGCACCAAGGTAAAACCTGAATCATGCTTCTGGAAGGTATCTGGCAATGTACTCCTGTTTATTTACCAAATAGTTTTGCTGCAATGCAGGAGAGAATCACCCCTCCTTAACAAAAAAAAAAAAAAAAGATTAATATGAGGGAAATGTGCTGCAATGACTGGAACTGCTCACGTTGGGATGAGTCAGGGGATTCCGCTGAGATAAGAGCGTATGATCAGTGTAATATGGATGCTAAAAGGGTGGGGGGAAGGAAGATTGCTCAGGCAATCTCGTCTAGTTCTGCTGCTTTATGATACTTGAATTAATGATTTATGATTTTTTCCATTCTTTCAGTATTTTAAAACAATATACTTTAGAAGATTTCTATTCAATTGTATCCATTAATATTCATAACTTCAAGGCAACCCAACTTCTTTAAAGCGGTTGTTAAATCTCAGTAAGTCCTGCAAGGCATTCCACAGCAAATTTACTGCACCTATTATTTCTAAGTTTACAACTGTAAAACCTCTCCTCAGCAAATGTAAGAAATACAGGTCTTCTTATCCTCCAGAACAAATAAAAAACCCCAAACCCTGCTTCAACCAATATGATCAAACTAGAAAAAGAAAAGTGGAAGAAATCCTTGATGTGAATAAGCTGAGACGACCTTGAAGAGGAATTTGTTTGAGGAAGTTTTAAGTACACTGCTGGAACTAAACTGTTAGAGATTGGTGAGGTGTAATATCAAAACAAGGTCATATCTACGATCAGATAAAGGAAATGGTATCAATGAGAAGCAGGAGACAGTACTAAGGCTACAGGTTCTTTATGAGATCCCTGAGTTAACGAGGTATTAAAGCACAAATAGTTTTAAGCGTTTGGTTAAGTCTATCCGGTCCAGCACATGCCTAACTTTAAACACATGCTAAAATTTTTTGCCGAATTAGTTCCCTTAACTCTCTCTTCTTCATTATTTCCAAGTTGCCTTTAACTGTCTCCCATGAATAGAAACTCTTTATGCTTTACTTTATAGGGCACAGCTGCCACCTACAAAGAGGCAGGCTTTGAAAATGACAAGCTATGAAAGAAAAAAAAAAAAAAAGAGATGCAAAAAAGCAGCAGTAAAATACTTTTCCTTGGCAAATAGGAAACACAAACCCATATAGCATTCTCCAATCAGTGCAGTCAGTAGGTGCAGAAACTGGGTAAATGAATTCATGGTTAAATAGGCAGCCATGAATCCTCCTGTTCTAATGGGGAAATAGAACTGCAAAAGTGAGAAAATAGGGCATAAGGGGCAGCAACCGTTAAGATTCTGTGGGCCCTTCAAGAGTTTATATTGTTTAACATGGCAGGGGGGTGTCTGAGGGCATCGGGAATGTTAAGCAGGGAAGGAAGAAGAAACACCACTCTGGACTAAAATGTAAATTATTATCTATCAAGTGTTACAGCTGAGAAGGAGCCACTTCCACCTACTAAGGGCAGATGTCCTGCATCAGTATTTCAATGCAGGACCCAGTTATCGTTCTCTGGGATGGAAAACCAGCCACCAACACTTCTGCTTCATATGGAGAGTGATCAAAGATCTGCCTTCTCTGTTAATCGAGTGTTTCCTCAGCAGAGCAGCTGCCCCCTGCTTCCAACAGCTGCCATCACTGTGCCTGAGATAAAAAAAAGGAAATTATTACCAACAATTCCATCTCAGACACTGGAGCTTTCTGCTGCCAAAAGCTGGGAGATGAAGAGTGTGACTCATGATTCTTGGGACTGCATTTTCTTTATGAGATCAGAGAGGATGTAACTAACATGAACCTTTTCAAAGCTTAGTCACGGCAGGCGAAGATGTAGAGATGTCCAAAGACTGAATTGTTATGAAGCTCAGAAATAGAGCTGATGTGGCTTTTAACTCCTAGAAGATACTGCAATGCTCAATCAAGGTTACTTCTTTCTTCTGAAAGTAGAAACTATTCTATTTTCCCTTTCCTTCTTGAGTCAAGGACACGTTATTGCCAGATATAAGAAAGAATGTTGATGAAAGTAACTATATTCTTGATGTTTCTCTGTACTGATTCTTTGTGTTTTTTTCTCATTTTAAACGTGCAGGATCTGGAAAGTACACATAATTCCCCTCTGCAAGGTCAGAGGGCTGGACAAGACTGTAAGGATATCATCAGTAACATTTCAGACAGGTAAGTCTTTTGTTGCAAATAGGATGGTTTTCTGGCCCCTGTCCTGTAATCTGGATATTTTTTACTACCAGTATTTTCTGGTATTTCTATTTTCTATTTGCAAAAGCTTTGTGTAACTTGAACGTGCACAGCCTGCAACGGTTACTGATAGTTGCAAAGCTGCTATTTATTATCTTATTTTCCCTCTTTACTGTACCTTTTACTATTTCTAACATTATGTATGATGATCATACCTAGGACAGGACGATGTAAGACCATGGTCTGCTTACACCTACTGGCACAGTTAAATGGTAGGTCTGAGAGTACCAGAGTTAGCCAGTAGAGGAATATTTGTCCCATCCTGCACACATTACACATGTATTCTGGATTTCAGGCATATCTTCTACCTAAAACATATTTAAGAAGTGCTCTAAAACTTTCTAAACGCTTTAGGAAACAGTAACAAGCAAAGCCTATTTCACTATGAATGCCTAACAACTGACAACTGTCACACAGGAAAAATTGCCTATAACTGAGACAAGTCTTACTTCCAATAATTTTTGGGCAGCTTTTTACACAAAGTATGTTCTCATCTCCGAAAAAACTAAAATATCCCATACAGATGATAGTGTTTTTCACTAGCTATATTCGCGAACACTACTCCAGGCAAAATGCTATTATTACTCCTTGGACGTGTGTCGCTCAGCGTTCACACAAATTCCTGCTTCAGAAAGTTAGAAGTGATCAAAAATGGATGAAAACCAAAACTGTTGTGCAGTTGAGATTCTCCAAGCTGCTGCCACTTCCATCAGACCATTCACCTGCTCCTGTTTTGCAGGTCTCAGCCGTGTGTGGGATGCGAGGGCTGCAGGAGGGAGAGCCAGCAATCGGAGTCAGGCAGCTGGAACAGCCAGGAGGAGGACATGCCCCACGGGATTCCTGCTCTCCCTCGAAGTAACTATGCAAAAACTCTTGTTTCTTTAACATTTTAGGCCAGCTCCTCCGTAGATGTTACAGTGAGACCACCACTAACCCCTTGTACACAAGCTAAGAACTTGCTCATTGTGTCTTAAAGCCCAGGAACTTGGGACACAATTTTTACTGTTGATACATATGAGGGCCATCGAACGTTTGCAGCACCTCCAAGAGGGTGCCCTACATCAGGAGGTCTCCAACTCTTTTGGAGAACTGCTAGAAGGAAGGAACACGAGTCTGAATGTAGTTATCTCCACCCCAGGAGGGCAGCTCTGCTGGCCATCACCCACTCGCCACAGCTCTGAGCACCTCTGCTTTAGAACTCCAGTGTCAAAAGGATGAGCAACTCTTAGTTTCTATTTATTTATTTATTTATTTTTGTATTTTTTTTTGAGGAGTTTTTGTGTCTTTTGTTTTGGTTTTTGTTGGGATTTTTTTTTTTTTTTAACATGATAATTTTATATATCATGTCCTTCCTTAAAGGGAAATCTCTGAATTTAATAATTTCTTGATTATATTCAATTAGGAGTACAAACTTTTATTACTCTCAATTAGGAGTACAAAACTTCTCCGTACAAACTGAGAAATAAGAGGAAAAGAAAGTTGTTGAATTAATTAGAGCAACATCATGACATTTGCTCTAATCATGCACTAGTGGATAGAGCAAAGAAGTGACACATTGGCTCGGTGGCTGGACAACAAAAAAAGAATGTTGTAATTTGGGTTAGAAGCAATTTTGTGGGAGCTTCCCAGTGCATAATTAAAAAATTGAGATTCTTAGTTTGTCCCAAAATGAATAAAGTAAAAGCAGATGGATTATTTTACAAGATACAGTGAACACAGTGCGTGTAGTAGAAGGTCTTTGTCATATGTGAAAGGCAATGACAAAGAAGGAAAGAAGGCTTTGAGAATTAATGGAACAAATTCCAGGAACATACTACAAAACAATATCAACGCCTACAAGTATCTCAAGGGAGGGTTGAAGGAGGAGGGAGCCAGACTCTTTTCAGTGGTTCCCAGTGAGAGGACGAGGGGCAACGGGCACAAGTTGGAACAGAAGAGGTTCCACTCAAATATGAGGAGAATCCTCTTCATGGTGAGGGTGCCAGAGCCCTGGAACAGGCTGCCCAGGGAGGGTGTGGAGTCCCCTTCCTTGGAGATTTTCAAGACCCACCTGGATGCTCCTGAGTAACATGCTCTAGCTCTGGGCAATCCTGCTTCAGCAGGGGAGTTGGACTAGATGATCTCTATGGTCCCTTCCAACTCTAAAATTCAGTGAAAAATTCCTAACAGTAGCATGCAGCAATATTAATTTTCAGGAAACTGCTGGAAACATGAAGATGATCCCCTGTGAAGACATGGCCAGAGTCTCCGATACCAATATAAATTAGAATTAAATTTTACAGTTCTGCAAGAACAGTTTAGTCAGAACAGACTGGATTTAGAAACTGTATGAGGCCATAAGTTGCAATTGTTGGATCTGCTTCCAAATTACACGAAATGTGGCGTTGGTTGTATCCATGGTGCTGCCTTATTCTTCTTTCTGCTCTGAACATAAATAAGCCAAAAATATTTTTTCACATTTCCCTTCCACAGTATAAGCAGCAAAATGTACTTCAGTACCCCAGCCCCCTACTATTTTACACTTTGCACTATGAACAATAATAATTAAAAACTACTTTTTTGTTGTTGCTGTTGATATGTAGGCAGAACCTTTGCTTCTGGAGACGAACTGACCCAGTTAATTAACTTTAAACCATCACTGACTGGAGTAGGTGCCAGGACCAGCATCACAGGGCTCATTCGAGGCCTTCAGTTGCGGATGGAGAATCAAGAGGTGTTAAAGGAGTTTATGGTAAAGTGTGATTCCTTTTTAAGATCTGAGTGTTTAGCAGAGCTAAGAAAATGACTTTTAGCAGCCTTCTGCACGTTGTCTGGGAGATCACCTTGTGTATCTTTACTGACTCAGCTTTCTCAGAGAACTATTCCAGCCAGAACGGGGCTCCTACTCTGCTCTTTGGGTGACACCACGGTATTTGGATCTCTCTCTTTCCACACAGGTCAGGCTCACCCTGTTCCCTGTCCAAAAATAATGCCCACGTGGAATGAAAAATAAATAATACGCAAAAATAGAGTACAAATCACTTTTTCCTAGACTGACTTCTTCCTATTACCCCCTCTGCTCTGCTGAACATCTGCCTAAGAATGACACTAGAGGCCACATTAGAGCAAGAAATCCAAGCTTCTAGGGATACACTAGTGTTGAAACAGTTTGTTAATGAAAGGAAAATGTTTAATATAATACTCTAATGATGCACGGAACTCATTGCCACAAGATGCTATTATGGCCAGGAACTTTGTGAAATTAAAAAGAAAAAGTAACATACCTCCATGGATAATGAAAACACATAATTACATCTGATGTAATATAACTCATGAAAAAGTGTAAAATCAGGAAAGCATATGAAATCTCTTCTTTCAGGATATAAATAGAGTACTCAGTTATCAGCAAATTCCCAAAGAACAGATTATTTTATAACTCTTCAACACAGTACTGGAATTTCCTTCAAAGGATGTACTCATCACCAGTGCTGCCACTTTTCCATAGTAATTACAACCTTATCAGTTTCTTTCACTTGCCTTTCTATCTCTGACTTTGTGGGTACCAAATCCCCCAGGCTCGAGTGTACAGGATTTGCTGACTTTCCCTGAAGGCTCAAGGGCATGTCTGAATTTCCATTCATTCCTTTCCCTTACTGATGTAGCTCACGAGCTGAGTCTCACATCTGCACAGGAAATGGAAAGATCTAATAGGGAGAGCACTGATTACCTGAGTAAAAGCTGTAGGAACTGATGAAGATGTTAAAGAACTGTCACCTGTATTTCTGTCCACGCACACCGTACAGTGGCATGACGTGATGGCTGAGCATTGTGCAATACACACCAAAGAGGTAAAGGAATCAAGAAAAGGGAAGGTGACTCAAAACTGTAAATGAAATTAATTTATACATTCCTGCTTCCAGCTACACTGCATTCTGTTGCCCTAAATCTGCTGTGAAGTGCTTAATGACATATAATTTGCACTTCACATCACTGATGCTGTTCCCCGTATCCACCAATTCTCCGTCACTGAACAGCACTCACTGACACTCTCTCCCTGTTAATAGTGCAACGGGTGGTGCTTCAGTCAGCGTGTTATCAACTATGAATGCTGACATCTGGCCAAAATTCCAAACACCTATTTTTTACAGCAATATACAGCAGGGATTTGTAATGGCAAGAGCTGAGGATATGGGTTGGAAATCTCGCTTGAAAATCCCAGAAATTCTGTGCAGGCTGAAGAAAATAGAAAGCAATTTGAATTCCTTGGCTAGAAGTTTAGAGGACGATGTAGTGACTCTCGTCTGTAAGAAATCTATTTGGGTCATACATAACAGTACAGTTTGCTCACGCTGACTCGGTAAAGGTTGTCTATAAAGGATGTGAACAACATGGATTGACTCTTTCTCTTTGATCTAGGCTTTAGAACGTGTGAAACCGCTAGATGACTGCACAACTGGCAAAGCACCAGAAAACCAGGATAAAAACAGATACCGAGATGTTCTTCCATGTAAGTATGCACACGATTGAGAACATACACTCAGTGAACAAAGACAATGACAGTGAGATGCAGGAGGTGTCAATCCCACCACATCCTTCATCATATTGAGGACATACACTCAGTGAACAAAGACAATGGAAAACAGAAAAATGGGTATAACAGTGAGATGCTGGAGGTGTCAATCCCACCACATCCTTCATCACAGAGAGCTCCACTAAGAACAAAATACATTGAGTGTCCAAGACCAGGCTGGACGGGGCTTTGAGCAGCCTGGTCTGGTGGGAGGTGTCCCTGCCCAGGGCAGGGGGTTGGAACTGGATGATCTTTAAGGTCCCTTCCAACCCAAACCATTCTGTGATTTTTCCAAAAGAGGTAGAGTTCGCATAAGGATGTCTGCATCGCACAGCATGTAATTTTCTGAAGTATCATCTCCCACAAGATGATACTTTCTGAGTCAGAAACAAGTTTCATCGCTGATGAGAATTTATTTCAGAAGAGAGATTTGAGTCCAAGAGCTGAATGACTGCTGTTACAAAGATTTCCAAAAAATAATGTACTGCCCACGGATTCCCCAAGAGGTATCACGACAGAGGGAAGACACTTTCTGGACCCTTGACATCTTTCTAAACTGCACCAGCAGGACAGCACATACAAAATGTGTAGCACAGTTACCTCTCTCTGGGAATGACACAGTAGACATTCTCAGAAGTTTCCTGTTTTATAACACCACCATCCAGTGCCAACGTTCCCATGCCATTCATTAGAAGCAGTATCAGATACACTATTTTAAATCACTGGCAAATGATTCTACAGTAATTAGAAGGCTTGCCAGAGTGTTACACAAGTATCTTAAGAGAAATAAAGCTGCAGTGAACCATACAATTCCTATTAGCAGTGATTAATATTAGCGCTACTGGCCAAATGGATTCTAAAATCCAGAATTTGCAGCTAGAGGCTGAGGTTCCCCATCTCCTGAGGGCTAGAGATGGCAGAATGTTGTTTCAGACCTACAGCTGATTGACACCTTTCTGTGTCTGTACAGATGACGAGACACGAGTTCCCCTGGGAGAACAAAAAGGCTACATTAACGCCAGTTACGTCAGGATGGATGTTGGAGAAGAAGAACATTTCTATATCGTAACCCAAGGGCCTCTGCCATCCACCACGGCTGACTTCTGGCAAATGGTCTGGGAGAGTGAATCGGACGTGATTGCCATGATGACAAAAGAAGTGGAGCTGGGGCAAGTCAAATGTCACCGATACTGGCCTGAACCTCCCTGTGACTCTCTGGACCTGGCTAATTTCCATCTCAGGCTGGACAATTATCAGATTCTGGAACACTTCATAATTAGAACTATAGAAATAATCAACAAGCAGGTGAGTTGAGTAAACTCAATACTTTCATATATGATGAAATTGATATTTTACATGAGTAAACACCTGTATTATTGTTTGCTGCTTCTGTAACATTTGCTCAGTATTTTTTAGGAATGTAAAAATCTGAATTACAGACATGGAATTAGGGTTAATGAGATGCTCCTTCTTTGCTCATTGCAGAAGCAATGGATTACATACATTTGGACAAGGATGTCCAAAAATTAGTCCTTTAATAGTCCCAGAACTGGTGTGTTCAGTGTTTTGCAGAATTGCTCACTGTTCTCATCAAATCAAATCAGGAAAGGCTGCCAGAACAGATTTGTGTTCTGTAATGGGGAAGAAGGTGGTTTTAATCCTAGAATTTAGAAGAAATGATACTTCTTTCGTTCATGAAAAGACATGAATGCACATGAAACTACAGATCTAGCAGCAAAATTCTAGAAAAATAACAAATACAGAATCCAGGTATAAGAACATGGAAATCAGGGCAACTATAAGTCCATCACTCTTGCCTCAATATGAAGTAAAGCTTTGCAAAGATTTTTGCAGGATATATTAATTAATGAAATAATTAAAGGATCCACACTTGTGCCAGACTAACTTGGGGCCTTTTTCCATCAAGAAAAGAATTTCCCAGGCCTGGGTCTCCTGAGTACATTCTGAAAACCTAAAAGAAACCTTAATAGGGTCAAGTATGAAAATCTGAAGAACTGTAGGGTTCTTGGACATTCTTAGGCAACTGTAGGACAAACAAATGAGTAAGAATGAGGTTGAAGGAAAATTTGAATGGAATTCCTTGAAAATTGGTCCTAGGACTGATCATTTTTAATATTTCTGGTCTTTCTGTTCCAGACAGAAGAGAAGCGCGTTCTATGCCATTTGCAGTTTCCCTCTTGGCCAGACCATGATACTCCCACACTGGCCGAGCAGCTCTTAAAATTCATTCACTACATGAGGAAAGCCCACAGCACAGGACCTGTTGTGGCTCACTGCAGTGCTGGCACTGGAAGAAGTGGAGTTTTGCTGTGTGTTGACGTTCTCCTCAGCTACATAGAAAAAGATCTATGTGTAAGTATCAAACAGATCACCATTAACTATTACAAACTGGTAACAACGGGGGGTTATCTTAGACCAGAGTAATTCCTAAATAAAATCACCTAAACAAAATCAAATAGATTCCAGTTCTTGTTGCTTTAAACAAAGATAATGGTAGAATTCACCTAAACAAAATCAAATAGATCCAGTTCTTGTTGCTTTAAACAAAGATAATAACTACAAATATACCATTTGTAAAAGAACTTCCCTGTCTGAACATGCTTAAATCTTTTCTTTTTAACTTGTATGTCAACAAAATAAAACCTGTTCTCTTCTGACAGTTCAACATCAAGCAGATAGTGAGAGATCTGAGAGATCAGCGTTTTGGCATGATCCAAACTAAGGTAAGTTCTCAACATCCAACTAGATGATGATTTTTAAAAGCCTCCATTAGTGGTAGATATAGACATGCTTTGATAAACCTGGGGCTTAAAGCATAATTTTAGCCCTCTCATTTGAGGAAAGTTACAGCCTTCCAGGCAAGTGGTGTCTTGATTTAAATATGAAAGTAATGGCCCTTACTAGCTCATTGAAATAAAAGCAAAACACCAAAACAGTACAGATACCACTCGTGTCATTCATCATCCATCCTCCCACCCCCTTGTTTTTAAGCAAAAAGAAAAGCAGGGATCAACAACAAAATCAGTGAGATACCATAAATACAGAGCAAACAGGTGGTGGGAAAAAAAGCAAGACGAGGATAATTTCTTCCTATTGGCAAATACTTTATCACATGCTGTGATACATTTTTCTTCAGTGTAATGATTGAGCGTGTGATTAAAATTAAGCAAACAGATAAGCTTCACTGACCTAGATGAGATTGAGCACATGCTCACAGGTACTGCATTGAATTAGGAAGTGTTCCTGAATTTTTACAAGTGATGGAACAAAAAGACCAAGGATGCTTTTCGGTATCTAAGGTTTTGTATCCATGTTACAAAGATGCTGATATAAACAGCACTTCAGCCAGTCCATCCTTCTTTGTCTAGAATTTATGTTGAATGTAACCAGGTGTTTCACGGTGGTGTCTCTGCACACAGGATGAGTATTTATTCTGTTATGAAGTTGTGCTGGAAGTCCTTCAGAACCTTCAAGCAATGGATTCCTACTGACTCTTCCCTGTTGCTGTTTCCCTTGGACTCCAGGGACCACTCAGCAATTGTTTTAGAGAGACACCAAGCCAGCACAGAGCAGTGTGGCTGTATGATGTTGCATGCTTTGTTAGATTATTCGGATTTCTAAGGCATTTCCAAACCTTGCTTAACGTGCCCTGGGGAGGTGATTTAAATCTTGGCTCCCAGTTTGGAGAAACAGCCAGCCAGTGCTGCAACGCCGCTGTCAAACTGCCATGGACGAGTACACCTTCTGTGTAATAACACAGTAATTGTTAGGAAAAGATTTTGGGACTGTGACAAGGAGAGAGCAGCCTTTGGAGTTAACTTTACTTTTCAGAGGGCAACTACAAAGGATTTTGCTAGTGCTGGTGGAAGATGAGTTGTCCCTCACATTTTGTTGTGCGCCATTGGCTTCTGGACCGCAAATCAGTATTCTCTACAGAACAGTTATGGGGTTGTGTGGAAGGACTCCATTTGTTTACCTTTGGCTGCTTGAAGAATGTAGAACCCTTTCCACCATCACTCCAGCTCAGGAATTTATACCACCATCGCTAGACATCTTAAATCAAGAAACTCACAGAAAAATAGGATGCCTTTCAACCCTGGCTGGTTCTCTTCAAAGCAGGAAGAGCATTCTAATAATTGGATGGAAGATGAATGTTTCCCAGCAATATGAACAGCTGTAGATAGCATCAGTATTCTTTCATGCTGCATCCATGTAAAAAGGAATGCAAAATTAAGGAAGATGAAATGACTGTGTGCATTTGTGGCATGTATATCCATTTCATCTTCTCCTGATCCTTTCCAGTGATTAAATATCTTGCAATTCTTATCTACACACAAATGTAATTCTTATCTCAATATTCTTATCTATCTTCTGAAACAATCTACGGGAAGTCTCACTGGTTCCAGAAAGGGCTGAATCAGATCTTTAAATTAGAATAAATAACTCTCTGTACAGTTTATTTCTCTTGTAAAAAGTGTTTCCTCTTAGTGTGAGTTTGAGTGGATTTGAGCAAAAATCTGCTGTTCAAGTTTGTAAGATTGTACTTGTTTCTATAGTACGACGTCTAAGTCCTTTATCCAGAAGGTGATATATATGAAAGTGAAGTTATTAGGTTGGAAGAGTTAAACATAGACAATTATAACAGCATTATTTAACTGAATTGTACATATATTTAAAGCATCTTTGATTTCAGAAAAGGAAAGAATATGAAGAGACATTTGAATATAAAGCTACAGTAGAAACATGACAATAAAATAGCTGTTTATTTTCATTACGGAAGTGAAGTTATTAGATTGGAAGAGTACCTTTTAAACATAGGCAATTATAACAGCATTTATTTAACTGAATTGTAAATATATTTAAAGCATCTTTGATTTCTGAAAAGGAAAGAATATTAAGAGGTATTTGAATATAAAGCTACAGTAGAAACACGACAATAAAATAGCTGTTTATTTTCATTACGAATGAGAGGTTTATGGTTCAGAAAGAATGAGGGATTAAATACAAATTAAAAGTATGACTTTTAGAAAAAGCCATGGTAATGCAATTGTAATTAAGGCCAAGGGCCATTATTTCTTTCTGCCCTCACACAGTCTGCTGGAAGTCAGGAAAAGATAGGAATGAAATTTATGGTGTGAGCCAGATGCTAATTTCAAACATATCGATCCATAGAGATCCAGAGTAACGCTAAATTAGCGCAGTAACCCTGGACTTATACTGGAATAAACTTCAAGAGAATTCTATGTTTTGTCTTAAATTCGTTGAATTGAGCCTTCCCAGAAGCATTACTCTCCATACATTCTGCATTTACTGTCTTTATGTTGCATACAAAGGATTATTTGCACAGTTTTGTCAAGTGTCATCATCCAAAAGTGTGTACATAACTTTGTTACCTTCATTTGGTATTTGGCCTTTCACTTGGATTTTAATTCCTGCACATGCACTACTATGCAATGAACGCACTGCACACCAATGCAAACCTCACTTTTTGTACCACAACAACTTTTAAAAGCTTCTCAGTGAAAATACTCCTGTACTTTATGCAAAGGTGTGGGGTTTTTCTGTTGTTTAGAAGAAGCATTCTGGATTTGAACAAGCATTCGTTATTTGTTCCTCCACATTTGGGCATCATCTTTGCAGATGTTTGACAGAAGTGTTTGCTGTTTGACAGAAGTTTTTCCTGTTTTACAGGGATATTAAAAAGATTTCTGAAAACAGTGAGTTGTGTTTTATTTCGATTTCATTTTAAATACCTAACTACTAACCAGTAAGAGCTCTAGGGAAAATTAACTTCTATTAATTGGAGCTTATATTTAAACTTCCTCTAAAGGCAGATTTTGTGGTGATGGTACCTTTTGTACGTTCCCCTAAAGCAGGTATTAGTATATTAGTATGTTCTTATCCTTTAGCAATATAATAATTATATGTTTATAAACAGATACTATGGTTATGATCCCCATAACGACAACCCCATCCTTAAAATACCCACCCATGCCAAAGTGGGTGCTACTGGCTAAAAGAACATGGTCAGGTGTGAAAAATTTTCTTTTAAAAGTACCAACTTGTATTTTTACAACTTGTACTAATGTAATCAAGCTTCCTTTTCATTTTCTTAGAAAGCCTGAGAGATGAATCAGTAAATTTTCTGTCTTTTCGGTCAGAGTTTATGGCCCTACTGAAACAACAGAACCTTCTGTGCTGGAAGAAATAGAGAAAATGCAAATACTGCTGGTACTGCAAAAGAACTGCAAATACCGCCATCTGCGGGCAAATCACGACTGCGACAGCGTTAATGGCAATTAGTGATTGCCATTGGCACAGAACCAGTCCCTGAACTTTCACTGAGGCTGACTCCAAAGTGTAACCAAGAGGGGCTGGGCAGGATGCTCTGCTTCCCTCCAGTCCCTCTCTGGCCAAGCAGGAGCTGCTGACCACTATATCCCAGTACTGCTGCTGGTCCTGAAATCGTGGTTATGGAGTTCTCAGTTGGCCTCAGGAAAGGGTATCCAGAAATCGGACAGGATCTCTCCAAATCTGAAGAGAGCCAAACTTATGAATAAACTTGCTCTTGACCGTAAAACAGGGCTGCTTTTGGAATGAAGCATTCTTCCCTCATTTACCAAAAATTATGAGTAATGGGGAATCCTCTGCATCCTTCCTGCATGTCTGAGGAACAGTGAACTTTGGAGATCCTGCTCTGAATTTTACAGCTATTTAGCTTGCTCATTAAACCATTCAAAACCAAAAAACAAAACCCAGCTAAAATGCCCGAGAGCAGTACACCCCCAACCAGGCCACAGGCACAATGGGGTCTATACAGTAGCTGTTTGGCACCCCAGCTCATTACACAACCCAGCAATTAACTGGAGTTGCCCATGCACCCTCCCCTCCCTGCATCTCCTGAGAGATGACAATTCCTTCTTCCCTTCCCCTTCAGCCCCCTTGGTAAGGCACAGCAGTGATTGTAGCCTTCCCTTTCCCATCACCCTGCTGTCTAAAAGCTCCTCACCATCTCCCTGACCACTTCCTTCATGGCTGAAGTAGGTTTAGCCCAGACAAAGCACCACCTACAGCAACATTGGTATTCACAAAGCAAATCCCCACTGTGAGTGCAAGAAAATTCTTCATATTGTGTATTTAAAAGTGCTGATAAAGCAGGAACTTGGCCTAAAGCAGCAGGAGAGAGCACACCTGGCCTGCTCTCTTGCCACACGGGGAAGGGAGGCAGAGGTCTGAGGAACTCAAGGCAGGCAACTGAATCCTTACAGTGAAAATCTCTCTCCTAAGTAGCTAAGAGGACATCTGCTTTGGACTTGATGGATTTCACCCTGAAAATTCACCCTGCTTTGTCCTCTAACCTAACTCTTTCTTGCTAAAAGGTGAAAGGATAAATAGGCTGCAGCAACAGGCTGTGATTGTTTGAACTTACCAGTGACTTCAAGGTCTCAGTTCAGTGCTCCTCAAGGTGGGTTGGATTTCAGGAAGAGCTGCGTATCCAAATTCTGGAGTCTCTGCATTAGCTGGAGCTGTGGTGTAGCCTTCACAACCACTTCTGAAAAGCTTGACCATCATTTTACTGATTTCCTCCTTCTATATCCATTCTTTCCCATTACAATCCTAAAAAGGGATGAAGGAGAAAAGAAGATTGATTGGTAACATTTCAGACTCTTCCCCCTTTATCAAAGGCCTCACAAACCCCTTGGCAAATGCAGGGAATCCTGTCTTTCAGGGGACATATTGTTCTAATACTTAAAAGACACTGGGAGAAAATGTGGTTGGTTACTGGTTGCTCCTTCTTGTGAAGCTGGCACAAATGCTGGACACAGCTAGATCCAAACAGTGCACTTGCAAACATGAGAACAAAGGTAACAGTGCTTATGTTTATAGGATTAAAAAAATCTAGAGAAAAATGGAAATACTCATTCACGTGCATCTGCATGTGGATCAAATGGAACCATAAATTTGAACCTTAAGCAACCCATTCCCGCTTTCCTTACCAGAATTAGCCTGAAGACAGGATTAGCTTCACTACCTTTCCCTTAAGTGAAGTTTTGTGCCCATGGTCAGACCCACACCTAATCCAAGCCCTGGACACACACATCCAACTGCTCACAGGTGGGCTCCTGAACATTCCCATGATGGTACTTCCAGCCTAAAGCACTCATGTGCTTTGGGCAAAGTTTAAACATGACAGAGACTGGTGGTATCACAAGGGCCTGGCACTGCACGATGAGCAAACATGACCTGCATCATTTGCTTTATGTACTGATATTCTGACCAGGCTGATAAAAAGATGGCATTTACACCCCTGCAAAAATCTATTGCCAAATTCCTCGTATTTCAGCTCAGTTATGTCCCATCAGCACCCAAAGCCCTTTGATCTCTACACTAGACAGTGTTCACTACGCATCACCATCGCATCATGGTTTGATGTTGTACTCTTGTGATTCCGAGCATAAAATCAATAGAAATTGTTATGGCTTGTTTTTTGGGGGAATATTTTTTAAACTTTTTTTTATAAATTACTTGGGAGCAAAGATCACAAAAAGCTTGTGATCCTTCCAGTTCCCACCAGATGTCACCAAGCTCTCAGGGATCTCTGGAGCGAGGGCAGCAGACACCTCCTGTTTGTGTGCCAGCCCCCTACAGTGTATTTCCCTTTTAAAGAGAAAAAGGTAAACCAGCAAATATAAGGAGCTGAGGACGGAGCGTTTCCTTGTGTCAGTGGATGAAACGCTGCAGAATCACTACCGAGCCCAAGCTGCTATGATTTCACTGCTGATGGATAGTTTAACCAGAAAGGAGTCAACCTCCCTTTACTCACTGTGAGGGAACGTTCCCATCCAGGTTCTTCTGCTCTCCTCTACTAAAACACCCAGCAGAGCAGGGGGGAGACGTGAAAACATGCACAAAAAGGAAGTTTGTGTTGCTGCTTTAGTGGCCTGTCTGAAATTGCATGGGGAGCCATGGGCTAAAATGGGCACTGCGACAGCTTTCCTTACCCGTCTTGAAGGACACTCACCAAAGAGCATCTCGCTTTTCAAGGCAGTGGTTCTCTATTGGGCTTTACAGAGTGCTGAGCATTGTGGAGTCCTGCACAGTGTAAACACCTAAGGTCTCACTCCTCAAAGATGTGTGTTCCCCAGGAATGAGCCAGCTTGCCCAGAGGCTCCCCTCAACACATCCCCATGGGCAGAACAGAGCTCTTAAGGCTCCACCATCAGAGGAAAGGTTTGGTCTCCAAGAGATTAGATGCGCAGACTAAGTAAAATGAATAGAAGTTGACAAATATCCAAGATGTATGTTTGAGGATGAAGAGGCTGAACTGGAAATGAATGGATTTTAATGAGAGAAGGGAAGGAAATGCACCATGAATCGCAGACGTCTATTGTCCTGAAAAGGGCATTGTTCCCCATGGCCTCAGAAGAAACATGAAAGGCCCACATTCCACGAGGTATTGTTGGGGCTGGCTTGTCTATGGCAGCCTGGGCTTGTATGGCACCTTTCAGGGAGGGCTTCAAATCATTTCAGTCCTGAGAGGCTGGTAGCATTATTTGGGGCTTTTTACAGGCGCTGAAGTACACACTGAGACAAAACAACTTGACCTCACGGTGAGCAGCTCCCTGAGCTGGGAAAGTGAATCCTGATGAGTGTAAATGAACCTCTGGCCCCTTGCTCCTGGGGAAGCACAGCCATTGGTGTCTATCATGCCAGCTCTCACAAACCACCTTGGGATG